TCCGCCGAGGCGAAGCGCGCCCGCCGGCCGTGCGCGCCCCCCCTCCTCCTGGCCTTGCTGCTGGGGTTGCTGCCTCTCTCCCGTCCTTCATTCTGCCTCCCTCCTCCTTCCTCCTCCTTGCTCCTCCTCCTCCTCATCTCTGCGCTCCACTCCTCTTACCTCTCCCCACCTGGAGACCTTGCCTCCTCCTCCTCTTCCTCCTCCTCCTCCTCCTCCTCCTCCTCCTCCTCCTCCTCCTCCTCCTCCTCCCCCGTAGCCATTTTGGCTCAAGTTGCCATCTTCTCGAGGTGGTACAGAGACCCGCGCCTTTTTGCAGACTTGGCCCGCGACACAAGGGTCTGCATCTTGGCTTCCATTTGTGGCGGTGAGATCCTGGAGGAGCACTCTCCCACTCTCGTCCCGCTTTTCCCGCCCTCCAGATCCCACGGCCGCGTGCGGCCACCCGCATGAGCGCGATGGAGGCACAAATCGCCCAGCTGCTCGCTCAGATGACGAACGTGACTGCCGACATCGGCCACGTGAAGGCTGCGGTCGGAGGCATCGCTGAGATCAAGTCGACGCTGCAGGCCCACGATGCCAAGTTCGTCGAGATGCAACAGCAGATCGACGAGGCCAACAAGAACGCGATGGCTGCCCTCGGCAAGGCGCAGCACACAGGCCTGGACCAACAACTCGAGGCACGTCTTCTGCAGCTCGAATCCTCGACAGCGAAGATGCAATCCTCATCCGCCTCCGTGAACTCCGACAGGAGCGAGCGGAGCCGCATTGGCACGGGCTCTACAGGACCTACTGGTGCCAGCAGCGACGGCTTCCACCTCGGACGGGCTGACGCCGATTATGATCGTACAAAGGTGTGGATCGGTGGATTCACGCGCAAGATGCTCGCCGCCTCCATGTCGCAGTTCGCCAACTCCGCCCTGACCAACCTGCCCACGCACGAGCGCAACCTGGTTCAGATCAAAGCGTACAACCTCTCAACAAGAGCTTCTCGACGAAAATCAGCTCCGTCGACCAGGCCAATGAGTTTGTCCAGCGCTCGCGCGACAACCCGCAGATGCTGACGTACGCCGATCCCGTCACGAACGAGAAGCTCTGCCTACGAGCACGTGTGGATGCTCCTCATGACGTACGCTCGTGCAACAAGATCCTTGGATCGCCGTGGCAATCCACTATTACCTTCATGAAAGGCAAGGGCACGTGGACCGACAAGATGAAGCTCGGGTCTACTGGTTTCCGCGGCATCCTCTTCCTCATCGACGGTGAAGCTGTTCAAGACCTGTACGTCGTCAGTGAGGACGCCTCCGACAACATCGCCATCGTCCCCGACATGGCTGCGCTCAAGAAAGTCGGGTTCGCTTCGCTGATGCTGACGTGACGACTGCCACCGACATTGCCAAGTCCATCAAGCGCTAGGAAACAGATGCACTGCATGTGCTGAACGCGAGTGAAGCCAGCGCCCGTGTTTGCATATGCGCGGCTGCAGCTGCCTCGCCGCTTGTTCTCCTCTCCTCCCCTCGCCCTTCTTCGTGTTCGGCGTGCTCTTCCTCTTCGTCTTCCTGCTCTTCCTCGTCTTCCAGCTCGTCGCGATCGGTTTCGCCGCCCCCGAGCATTTCGCGTACCCCACCTCCTTCCACTTCCTGCGGTCCGCTTCGAATATTCGAAATATTGTCCATGGTTACATGGAACGCTCACACGCTGTTTGCCTTTGCGTATGCTGATCGCACTCGTCAAGAACGCACGGCGGAACTACTCGACAGGTTGCTGAAACAATTTGACATCGTTTGCCTTCAAGAATGCCACGGACAGCAGGAAGATCTCGACCTTTTTCTTGGTGAGCGCGAAGGCGCCCGAGCGCACGGCACTTTCTGTGCCTCTTCCCCTGTGGGCGGCAATGCTATCTTCATCTCCCCGTCTCTCTGCAAGCACTTCGAGAGTTTCGACCGCGTAGAGCTGGTCGCGGGCAGGCTACACAGTCTCACTCTCCGGGGACCCAAGGGGACACTCCAATTAGCCAATCTTCATTTCACTCCCGACATTCCCGAACCTCAAAAACGGCGGACCCTGAACACGATAAAGCATGCCATGATGTGCCCCACTATATGCTCCTCGTTTTTGCTACGGGATTTCAACTTCCAGCCCGTCGGCGAGGGCAGGGGCGACCTTTTCAGGAACTGCCCATCGCGCTGACTCTCCACTCGCTCGCCGCTTTCAAGCAGTTCTGGGCAGCCTGGCGGAAGTCCAGCAGATGCAGCGCACGCACCTCGGCCACATAGGAGACCCGAAATCCCTAGGAAGAAACGACCGCATCTACATGAATTTGTTTTCCGCTCACATCCTGGACCTGAACCCAAGCAGTTTCACGATCGGTTCTGCCCTGGACCCCATGAACCCTCGGACCACGTCCCCGTCGCTGTTATCCTGGTGTCTGCCAAGCCCCCTGAGGTCCCGAGGATTCCGCGATGGGTCACAAGGGACCCGCTCTACCCTCAACATGTGGCTGAAGTGATCGAGGAAATAGGTCAAGACAGTCTTTCTCATAATGTTTATCAACGCGCGCTTGAATTCAAAGATATCTTTCGTGCTGCCGCACGGCGCGTTATGGATGCAGCCTACCAGCGTGAAGCCGCCACCCCCGCTGTGAAGGTATCGTGGGCTCTCGCTGTCGTCAGGGGTATGGCCACTGGTAACATCCCCCAAAATTGTGCTTGCACTCCGTATGTTCCCTTCTCTCGTCAAATTTGTGAAGACGGCTAACTACACCTGGCTCGACGAGGCTGGCTTTCACGTTTTCCTCAGCTCCATCTCCACGGCTCTCATCGACGCCGACATTGATGAGATCGATCAAGGTTCGCCTCCCCCCGCACATAAGCTCGCCAAGAAACAAAACACGATGCAGCATTACTCGGTGTGGAGCACCAACATCCGCCAGATCCCCTTGACGGGCATCCTCGACAGCTCGGGCCGATGCGAAACGGACCCGGATGTTGCCGCTGAGAGGCTTGCCAAGAATTGGGAGTCCGCCCGCGCACCTGTCGCGGTCGACGAGGCCGCCGCTGAGCGGATCAAGCCGTTCATTCAGCCAGCGCCTAGGGTCGCGTTCTGGAAGCTCGAGCAGACCGAATTTGAAGAAATGCTACGCCGTCTGCATGACACAGGCGCTGGCCCAGACGGGCTGCCGTACTCTGCGTGGACTCGGGCGGGTCCAGCGGCAATCCAGTTGCTTTACGAGCTTTACGTCGATGTCGTCAATTTCGGAAAGCCCCCACGATGGCTTCAATCACTCCCTGGGCGTCTCCCTCCCTAAAGGTACCCGAGAAGCCGACGACGAACGTGTCCAGCGTCTCCCTGAGGACACCCGCCCCTTATGCCTCAGCAATGCCGACAACAAAATCATTGCCCTCGCCATCAATCGCCCCGTCAGTCGTATATGTCAAGAAGTCTGTCACGAGCGCCAGCGTGGCTGTATCGCTGGACGCGATATGCCTTCCACCGTTCTCGAGTTGGAAACTCGAGCTGTCTCTTGGTGGTGCCAGCTAGGTGCAGACAAGACGGGATGCACCTTTTTCGACATTCGCGCTGCGTTCCCGTCAGTGCTGCACGTATTCATGTTCATCATTTTGAAGACCATGGGCTTCCCCGAAGATATGTTGCACGTGATCGCTGAGCTCTACCGTGACATCGCAGTCCAAATCCTACTCTGCGGCCCGTGACAAGCTTTTTTTCCGTGTTCTCCGTGGGGTGAAACAGGGTTGCCCCCCTGAGTGGTTCGATCTTCTGCCTCGTTTTCGACCCGTTTATCCGTATGATGGTGTCAAGGTTGCCCACGGATGAAGCTTGTCTCGCGGCATTCGCAGATGATCCTGGACTCGTCGCACAGGACATCTACGCTTGTCAGTTCCTCGTTCTCCAAGTCTTTCAGCTTGCTGCGCGTGCTGCTGGCCTATGTTTAAACGTCAAGAAGACGAAGGTAGTGCCCTTTAAGTTCCCGAACAAAGAATACGTGCTCGCCTGCATGAGAGAAGCAGGCATCTTGAGCAAGCAGTTCGAAATCTGTGCGCGCGCTGTTTATCTCGGCCCCGTTCTTGGACCTGGGGGCCACGAAATCTCCTGGATCGCTCCTGCTTGTAAACTTCGGGAACGCGCCTGGCTTATTCGCTCCCTGGACCTTGGGCTAGTCAAATCGGTGGGGCAGTACAACTTGAGGGCCTTCCCTGTCCTGGGGCACGCGACGCAGCTCCTCACGCCGTCTAAAGAAGCCTTCGCTGCCGAAAGAGAAGCCCTGCAGACCCTCGTGAGAGGACCCCGTAACGCGTTCACCGACCAGATGATGATGTCGCTCACTGATCTAGGCTTTGCGATTCAAGCTCGAGGCCTGTACTCTGCAGGTGCCGCTGCGATGTACCGAGTGGCGCTTACTTCGAGTGCCTTCCACACCTGTTGCAATCTGATGGAGGAGGAGGGTGGATGCAGAGAGTCGCTTCTGGTCATGCGCTCGCCCGAAATGCCGCACCGGTCCATGATCCAGCAGCTCAAGAGAAATTGGAAGCGCATCTCTGAGATCCCGCAGGCCCCTGAATTCGGCGATACGCAGCTGCAGCGTAAAACTGATTTTCTGTTGCAGCGCCAGGCGAGCAAATCTTGCCGCGCCACCCTCACTGCCATAACCAGATTCTTCACGCCATCGGCCAATGAGGCCGACATTGATGCTCTGATGTCGTGCTTACGCCGCCTGTCCAAGCTTGCCCCTCTTTTCGTGCTCGCTTGCGTTGTCAAGACAGTCTGCAACGCTTGGTGCACCTCTCGTCGCTTCCCTGGCCCCACCGAATCATGCCGTCTCTGTGGCTATGCCCTCGGAGGCGACGATATCATCCATATTCTCGAGCGCCCCTGTCTTTCTAGTCTTGTCCGCTTGCTGCCCGCCCTGCCTCCCCTGTTCTGCCGTGCCTCGGCCGTCGAGCGCTTGTCCTTTTACCCTTTCATCCCGCTCTCTGACTCGCAGCTGCTCGCCTGTGCCCTTTTCATTGATACTGTACGCCACGTTTACCACGCGATGAAAGCTCGTGGCACGCGTGGGGAGTGTGCCACATATAGGCAAATCCGTGCGAGGTTGCGTAATTCAGCGAGGCGTGACGGTCGCCTCCAAGGGGTGCAATGTCGGCCTGGGTAGCCACTGCTGACCATCGGGCACTCTCTCTCTTCTCTCTCCTTCTTGCCCTCGTCTCGTGTCTGGACCGCTCTTCGTCTCTCTCTCTCTCTCTCTCTTGGGGGCCGTGTACTCCTCCTCCTCCTCCTCCTCCTCCTCCTCCTCCTCCTCCTCCTGAGGCCAAGGCTGGCGGCCTTTGTCCTGCAGGTCAGTTGCGGCCGTCGCACCCAGCCCGCGCCACTGCGTAGGTGTGCGCGGGGGGGGGCGGGGCACGTGGGAAAACGGCCCGATCGTGGCGGGGCCGGTGAGCGGGGCGACGTGGGGAGGGGAACGACGCGAAAGTAGGCCGACGAAAGGGCGAACCGAGGGACGCGTGGGCGGCGGGCCGCTGGCGCGCTGACCCCCCCCAGGGTGGACGGCCACAGGGGTGGGGGGCGGGCAGGGGCGAGGGGCCAGAAGGGGTGTGCAGCTCGGTGGTCCGCCGAGGGAGGTCCAGGGAGCGCCTCCGCCTGACTGCTCTCCCGTGCCCCCGGATCCCCTCGTCTCCTCCTCGCCCGCCCCCGCCCCACTTCCAGGCGCCGCTTCGGGGCCTCCCGCCTGCTTGGAATCCTCGCTGCTGGTCCGGTTCTCGCTGTGGCCGAGGTGAGCCTTGTCATCCCCCAGAGTAGTGCCGTCGGTGTGGTTGTAGGTCTTCGGGTGCGTTGGGGAAGTGGTGGAGGGGGGGCACTTGCATGGGTGTGCCACAATGGCGATCCAGGAATGGCCCCAGCCCGTACCACGGGCCGGCTGCCCATGCACGGGGGCGGTCAGGGTGTGCAGTCAGCACATGGGCGTGAGTCGGAGTTGACCGATTCTTCGACTGAGGTCGTCGCTGCAGGACGCAGCTGTTCCTTGCCCTTTGTCGCCAGCCTCCATCCCTGCTTGCTGCGTCATACTGGTAGGACTACGGGCGCTGGTCTCGCCAGGGGGGCAGGCCGTCGGCGAAACGCACCCGCCGCTGGTTGGTTCGGGTTGGGCGTCGGCAAGCGTCAGGCACAGCGTCGGGGGGCCTCGGGTAGAGGGTCGTGACCGTCTGGTCCGCCGTCATGTGGTCCAGCGTCTGGAGGTCCGCCTCGATGTCGCGAATTTTCTGAAGCTGCTGCTGCTGGGCCATACTGACCCGTTGGCGCTCGTCGCGTATACTGCTGGATCCAGGAGTCGAT